CCACCCTCACACCAAAGAATTTCTTCCTCAGATCTCATCTCAGTCTCCCCTCTTCCAGTTTAAAGCCATTTCCCCTTGTTCGATCACTCCCTGCCCTTGTCCAAAGTCCCTCCCTAGTCTTCCTGGAGCCCCTTCAGGTACTGGGAGGTCACTAGAAGGTCTCCCCGGAGCCTTCTCTTCTCCAGGCTGAACAGCCCCAACTCTCTCAGCCTGTCCTCACAGTAGAGCTGCTCCAGCCCTCGGATCATCCTCGTGGCCTCCTCGGTACTCGTTATAACAGGTCCATCTCCTTCTTGTGTTGGGGACTCCAGAACTGGACGCAGCACTCCAGGTGGGACCTTACAAGAGCAGAGTACAGGGGAAGAATCACCTCCCTCGACCTGCTGGTCACAGTTCCTTTCATTTTTGCAGGGTACTGAGCTGCAGACCTTGTTCAGAAGGTTAAAGTTAGTCTGTGTAGAGTAGTTCTGTCCAGAACTTAAAATACTGTTTCTGACAAGCAATGCATTCCCAAGGTGCAGCTGACAGGAGATGCACGTTTCGCTCCCTGTGGTCTGATAGCCGTGCAATGGCTAATCTGCTAACAGCACTAGATGACCTACTTGCCTTTCACCTCTCTTGTTCTAGCAATAATCTCTCAAGCTTTTTGAGCAGGCAGTCACCACTCTGTTCTGGAAGCCAAAGCCAATGTAAAAGCATTGATGGAGGATCATGGGAAGAGGTCAATTTGCCAATAAATTCAATGGAAGTCACATTTGAGGGGGATTTTTTTTTTTTTTTTGAGAGTGTGAATTCAACTCCATTGACACATTCAGACCTCTTAAGGTCTTTCCTGTTAAAATCCTTGTCCTTGGAATGATTTACAGAAACTGAGGCCATCTCCTTTACTGTGTATGTAAGTGATTCTGACTGACAGTCTTGCAACATGGTTTGGGTTTTTGATTTGGTGTTTTTCCAGCTCCATCACTCTTCTCATCCCCATGTGATCTTAAGATAGATTAAATGCTCTTTCTTCTAGACCCAAAGCTGATCACTATACTGTAAAGTACATGAAGTAACATAAGAAGATTATCCAATAATGCAAAATACTTGGAGAGCATTTAAAACACCCACCACAGTCTTGCATTCTTAATTAAAAAAATTTTGACGTGGGTGGCTCAGAATAACTTGAGCCTTGTCCATATCGAAGATTGTGACATATGTAAACTTAGGACTCTGCTTCCATTCCATAAATACTGTCAAAAGAAACCTCACGTTCCTCCTTAGACAGTTGTCCTCTTCTTGTGCTGTGTGTGGCCCTATATATATCCTAGATACAGGAATTTCGGTGCCTGTACAGTGCTTAGGAGAACTAAGCTGCCCTGGTTGGAACTCTGGACTACTGGTTGCAGTTTTGTTGATAGCCCTTGCTGCCTTGGATGTCTCTCATTTCCATAAGACACAGTAGTGCAGCGAGAGTTCCAAAAGGTTTGATAGTCTGAAATTTGAGTTGTGTGTCTTGTATTCTGCTGCCATCCCTGATACTAGGAAAGAAAATCCTGTTATTACATTGATTAAATGAGATTGTGCACGGGCTTCTGTGGCTGTTTCAGAGCTTGAGCTGTTGCCTGATGCTGTGTTCTATTCCAGTAATCTATCACAGAATCATGTATGCCTGTGGCTTTTTTTTTTTTTTACCAGTTAACTGTTTTCCAAAGCCCTGCTGTCATTGTTTGCCCGATTCATTAATATGTCAGCTTGAGAGTGATGGGGCAGCGATGTGGAGAAACACACTGTACTCTGCTAAACGTGACGTGTTGAATTGAGCTGCCAGAGCTATGCCAGGCTGAGGACTGAGAGTGCAGTGCTGCAGCTGATGCTCACTGATACCATTCATTCTCTCCAGCAGCCGGCAGGGATGCTGCTGTCAGTAACTCTCACCATGCTGCCCACACTGGCATTTTGCTTGGTGTTCCCACGTTGGGCCTGGTCACTGAGCAGGGTAACAATCACTTGGATGCCGTGACCTTGTTTCTCCATTGAAAGTCTGTCACATATATTTTTCTATTGCAGGACATGTTGATAAAGTAAATGTTTCTTGTGTTTTCTTGTGAGCACAGTTGTTAATGTGTAACTGTGATAGCTTAACTGAGCTGACAGCCAAACAAGACACAGCCACTTGCAGCACCTGCCACCGAGGGAACTGGGGAGAGAATTGGAGGGGTAAAGGTGAGGAGACTTGTAGGTTGGGATAAGAACAATTTAATAATTAGGGTAAAATAAAATAAAAATAATAAGAGTAATAATGATAACAAATATATATATACGTATATATGAATGATGCAGAGTACAGTTGCTCACCACCCACTGATAATGATCCTGGAGGAGTGAAAAAGAACCCCAAAACTGAAATTGCAATCCCGGAAAAGCGAGCCCAAGAGCATCCCCCCACCCTTCCAGTCAAGCCTGGTTAATATACTGAACATGTGAACATGATGGGGTATGATCTGGAATATCTCATTGGCAAAGCCAACTGTCAGTTCTGGGTTTTACTGACAACTACACTTTTCTTCTCCACCTCCCCCTTCCAGTCCTCTCTTCTTGGAAACTGCCCAAGCACAGTGTCCTTGTAGTTATCAGCATTGTTCTCATAACAATCCTCACTGAACCCAAAACACAGAGCTTTCTAGCTACTCAGAAGAAAATTAACCCAATCCTAGCAAAAACCAGGATAGTAACCCAAATAGGATTTACTATTATTAAAAAAAAAAAAAACAACCTGGCAAGGTTTATGATGGGACTCCCAAACTGAATGATGAAGAATCAGCTACTGCAATGGATAGGGAGCCTTTGTTCCCAAGGAATCCTTAACAGTGCTGCTTTTTTTTAGCCAGCCCTTCATGTCTGTTCCTTCTCTAGTCTTGCTAAGTGGCTGCTCTGTCTTGGCAGATTCCAGGAGCTGGGGCTTCCTCCTGCCTGGGCTCTGGAGCTTAGCCTGGTGTGTCCACAGGGCTGGGGCTCTGTCTATCCCAGGCCCATGGATGTGACTGCTGTTTTCTTACTTGGGATTCAACCAGTAGCAAGGCTGGGCATATGGCTCTATTTGTTTTGGGGCTTTTTTGTGTGTTTTACTTATTCCCCCTATTCCATTGCTTGTTCCTCTCAGTTTATTTCATTATCCCCTTTGCACTGACAGGATTGGATAACCTTCATGAAGCGGATTTTCCTTTTATTTTCTTTTTCACATAAATATTTGAATTTGGTTTTGAGCTGATTAATAGCACTAAGCTTTCTCTGCAGTAAGTATTTATGAAAGTAAATGTTTTCTTCCTTCTTTTTTTTTTAATTGCAAATAGGTACATGGCACCTGAAGTTCTAGATGATTCCATAAATATGAAACATTTTGAGTCATTCAAACGAGCAGACATCTATGCAATGGGATTAGTGTTTTGGGAAATAGCTCGGCGATGTTCCATCGGTGGTATGTGGCAATCTTTACAAAATTGGACATACTAAGGAATTATAAGTAACTTAGAGAACCTGAATAAGTTTGAGTAAACAGTTTGCTCTAAAAGTGGTGCAAGGTAATAGCCAGTATGTCTCAGACTTTCTAAGTGTTAATCCTGTAAATGATGACTAGTTTATTCAGCCTCTTTGTAAATTGATTAACTATACTTGTTGAGGAAAATAGTAAATAGCCTTGTCCATATTATTTTATTTTTTTAAAAAACCTTTAGATAGAGGGGAGAAAGGGGTGAAGTTACAGCCCTTGAGAGCAGGGGGCAAACACTACAAGTAAGGGCTAGCTATAATGCATTCAGATAACATCCTTACCTTATTTGAAATAAAACATGCTGTTACAAATCATATGTTTCTAAGAAGCATGTCTTTAGCATAGAAAGATTTGATGTACCTTCTGTCTTTTCCAAATATATAAGTTTCAAAATTAAAAGTTCTTCAAGGGTAATGTAAATACTCCTAAAATATGGTTACAGATTTTTATTTATTTATTTGTCAGTCATTATAATGTAACTCTTAAAAATAAAAACCAAAAAAAAAAAAGGTAGGGTACAGTAAAAAATGAAGAATATGTCATTTGGTGTTATCTAAAATAAAGCTATTTTCAACCTATTACAGGAATCCACGAAGATTACCAGTTGCCGTACTATGACCTCGTTCCTTCAGATCCTTCTGTTGAAGAAATGAGGAAAGTTGTGTGTGAGCAGAAGTTAAGGCCCAATATTCCAAACAGATGGCAGAGCTGTGAGGTATTAACCAACCTTGCTAAAGCTGCTTTAATAGACACTAGAGCTTTTATTGCTTTCAATGGCTTAAAAATTGTGCTTGTTGAAGGGAGAAGAGTTGCTTCTTGAACTTAATTTCATTCTGATCATTGTGGCTGTACTGAATGTTATTGATCCTTGGTTAGACATTAATTTTTAATGTAATTTCACAAAAGTTAATAGCTAACCCTGCATGGAGGATTCTAGGATCCCTTCCTCTGAAGCATAAGTGATGCTAATGCAAATTAAAGCTAGTCTGAATTACATGATGCAGGAAGCATCACTGCAAATAAATTGTGCAACTGGGAGTTGCACTGCACCTGCCTGTGATTAACTTTCTTCAGAGTAGCTTGTACGGTGTGTTTTGGGTTTGTGACCCAAACAGTGTGATAGCACAGCAGTGTTTTAGCTGTTGCTGTGCTTACACAGCTCCAAGACTTCCCCATTTCTCTCTGCACGCTTTACAGCTGAGTAGGCTGCGGGGTGGCCAAGAGGCTCCCGAGGGAACACAACTGGGTTATTTGACCCAAATTGATCAGAGGGATATTCCATCCCATGCAGTGTCACTTTCAGCAATAAAACTAGGGGAGAGGGGAGTTTTCCAGGGGTTGCTCTTGCTCAGGGACTGGCTGGACATCAGTCAGATGGTAAGCAATTGGTTTTGTATCACTTGGTTTTCCTTTGTTTTGGCTTGGTTTTCCCCGTTTGCTCATTAAGCTGTTGTGGTGATTGCAGTGGACTAACACCAGGCTGGCAGCCACACACAGCCACTCGCTCACTGCCCCCCACCAGGGGATAGGGGAGGCAATTGGGGGGGGCAAGGGTGAGGAGACTCATAGGGCGAGAGAAGAACAATTTAATAATTCAAATAAAATAAAGCTTTAAATAATAACTTTATTAAAATAATAATAATGATAATAATAGTAATAAAATATGCAAATGAGTGGTACACAGTGCAACTGCTCACCACCCGCTGAGCAAGCCCAGCCTGTTCCCAGATAATGATCCCAGAAGAGTGAGAGCCAGAGAGAACAAGAGAGGAAGAGCCCCTCATGAATATCCTGCCCATGGGGGATAGGAGATGGAATAGCCAATCTAGCTTATTAATTTAAATATTCCTCGCCCCCCCTCGCCCCGACCTTGCACCTGCAGACCAGCAAAACACAAAGTCCTTCAACTTCCAGCAAAAATTGCAAACATTAGTGTGTTCTCAGTGTTTCTCTCATACCAAATCCCAGCTGAAAACAAACCCCAGCGCTGTTCTAGCTGCTAAAAACAAACCAGCTCTGTCCCAGCTCAAAACCAGGACAACTGTCTGTATCTCAGTCCACATGTTTTCTTACTTTTGCCTTCCTGACTCTCTCCGCATCTCACTGCGGAGTGAGTGAGTGGCTGTGTGGGGCTGAGCTGCGTCCTCGAGTTGACTCACAACAGGAGTAGTAAAGATACATGAGCTGATCAGGTCTGTGGTGTGTAACTAGGCTGGTGGTCTCTTTCAGGAATTGGACTAGCTAGTTTCAGCTCAGTCCTCTGCCAGCACAGCAGTGCGGCTTGTGGGGACACAAATGCTGTCTCCTGCAGTGCCTCACGTCACAGAATGACAGAATTGCCTTGACTGGAAAAGACCTTCAAGATCATGGAGTCCAATCATTAATCTCATAGTGACAAGTCCCTGACTAACCCATGTCCCTCAGCACTATGTCTACATGACTCTTCAGTCCCTCCAGGGATGGGGACTCCACCTTGTCAGTGCTCGCTTGGAACTTTGGACAGTTGTTGCATAGTAAAGGAATATCCTAGAGGCTGGCCAAAGTAGTAAATGCCTTTAGGAATTTTCATCCAAAACTGTGGTGGCCTTATTACTTTGTGCATCTTAGAATTTGTACTGTATGTGCTTACTGAAAAATGAACACAGATAGTAGGAAGCTGAGGCTCTAGTGGTGTGCATGTAGTGACCACTCCTGACCATGCCTCTACAGAAGAGCTTACCTGCTGTGATTCCAATCCTGCAGACTTACTTAGCAGCCCAATGTAATCCAGCTTTGAGTGTCAAATCTTGGAATGTAGAGCTATTACTTTATTTAATCTTCAGTTCTTATGTTATTTGCGTTGTTACTTGTGTAGTAGCCTTCACAGATTTCAAAGAATGGCTGTTTGAAGGATAAAAACACTCCAGCAATTTTCAGAGTCATTACAGAGCTTCAATTTGAGGAAGACAGCTGATAAACTTCTGAATTGCTGTCCGTTGAACTGGCTCCCTAACTGGAGGTGCAATACAAGAGAGTGTATTTTTGTCTAATATGAAAATTCAGAATAGAGTTACAATCAAGCTACTGATTTTTCATTAAAATACTTTTTCACATGCTTCAGCCCATTCTACTGAAAAGTACTAGTTCTGCTCTGCATTCTTTTAAAGATTTTATTTTTCTGTAAATAAAGTAAGACTTTGAGGTTTTGATACAAGACGCTTTTCCATGCAGCTGTAGTAGTAGTAATAGACTTTGGAAATGCGTGAAGAGGCTAAGGCAGAGCAGAGGTTACCTGGGCTACCTCGGAACAGCAGTACCTATAATTACTTGTGTTTCTTTTGCAGGCGTTACGAGTGATGGCAAAAATAATGCGGGAGTGCTGGTATGCCAACGGGGCTGCCAGGCTCACGGCTTTGCGCATTAAGAAAACATTATCGCAACTTAGTCAACAGGAGGGGATAAAGATGTAATCCTGGATTTGCTACCGAAGAACTGTAAAAAAAAAAAATCCATATCTGCACCAGAGTGGCGTGTTAAGAAGGTTAATTGTTCTACCTCATTGGGGGAACAGAAGGATATTGCTGCCTTTTAGGACTTCATAGGAACGCCACTTCTTAGGATGTTGGTGGACGTGCTAAACAGTTGTGTTGGGTCCTTTCTGTGCACTATGAACCTCTTTCCCAGGTTACTTACAAAACATTGTGTAGTCTGATTTTATTTTTATTAACCTATATTTTTTTTTTTTAATTTGGAAAGCCGATAGCTGGTCTTAACTTCTAGTTAACTGTGCTAAAAATAGGAGGTCACTTTTAAACCGGAACTGGTTCACTAGATTGTTCTGGAGTGCATTGATGGCTCTTTAAGCAACTTTCTTCCTGGCTGGTACATTGACTATTCTGAACCATTGTCACAGTTCTGATTCAGATTGTGAATGTACTGATGGAGTAGACTTTGCTAGCTATTAAGGTAGTATATCTTTCGGACTCTTACCTTGATTTACAAATTGACCTCATTACGTTGTGGGAACATAATTTATGCAACTATACTTTATACATGATTACTGGGGGTTTTTTTCCACTTTTTTGAAACATTGCATTGCCTTCAAAATAGATTGTATTACACCAGCAAGTGCCGCTTTTGAGTCTTTCAGTGCAAACCAGTAGGAGCATACAAAGCCTATGGTACTTTCAGTTTCAAAAATACAAGGTAAAAATCAACTGTTCCTTTGCCTAGCTAAGATCTAATTCACACTTGTTTCAGCAAGTGAGTGCATAATTTGTGGAATACCTTTTAATTTTACCAAAATCTGACTCTTTAAACCACTGTAGGAGTTTTAAATAGTGTAAGTTAGTTAGTTCACTGTCATATTTTGTAATTGTCAAGTCATGAGTCATAATTATATGTAAAATTTTTTTCATCATGTGGTACTTCTGAAATGCTTGAAGTACCTGCTTCGGAAAAGTAGCAAGAGGAGTAAGATTTTCTTAAGGGAGATTTTGCTCCATTAAATCAAATCTGAAAAGCAGATTTTCTGTGCAGTTCTGCATAGTCTTAAGGCTCAAAGAACAACATTAGCAATTAAACAAGGATTAAGTGCACATGTAATTATGGAGAAGTTTTTTGGGCTTTTGTACTAGAAAGTTCAAAGCTGCTTAGAAATGTTCTGTGCGTATATTTTGTGTGTGCCTCATACACAGAAAGTGGTGAGCTACAGAAAGTGGTGAGCTGCAGGTCTTTGGATACAAATAGCAGAGGATTCCAGCAATCCTCTTCGTTGTTAGAAGAACAAAGCTTGTGGGGGGTTGTGTTGTCGTAAGAACACAGAAGAATATGGATGGCTTTAGTCAAGATTTGCCTGAGATTTTTAAGGATATCACAAGATTTTTGCAAACTTGTTAAGAAACTGAATTACTTCCTGCCCACACATGCAACTTCTAGAGGACACTGGGGGAATTGATAGGGAAAATTCTCTTTTAAAAAGTGCTGTTACCAGGATATAATTTTTTTTTTAACTGCAGCTTCAGGAAAAGTCTGGTTGACCTTTGGTTTCATTAAGGCCCAAAACACTCAGTAGTATTTCAGTATGTAAATGTGCCTGGTGATTAATATGCCACCTAACCTCCTGCTCTTCAGAACACATCAGGATCCATCCTGATCCATCCACAGCAGCCTTAACTCTGCTTCCTTTTCATTCTTCAGCACATAGTCCATGGAGAGTTGTTCACAAAGCAACAACTTCATGGTCTATGATAAGTGGTAGTTAAAAGCAGTGGGATGGATGGGTCCTGGAAAGCAGAGGCAACCTGAGGCTTAGCCAAGATAAACCTCAGCACTTGGCTGACTCTTGCGTATTTCGATATTCTTGGCGCTTTCCTGGAGATGGGTTTAAATGATGTGAGAGCTCCAGACATTCAGAGGTTGAACTGCAAATAGTGAAATGCTTTATTCTTCAACCACCTTTATGGGTGAGTTTACTCATACTGGAAGATGACATTCAGATAAGAATGGACAGCACAGAATTTTTCAGTTATGACTGTTCTAAAAAATCGCTGACTATAAGTAAACTCCCGAGTCTATCTGCTTGGCATGCCTTCGTAACAAGTTCTATCTATATAGGCAAATATTTAAAGAATCACAGAAT